CGCCCCGCCCGAGGGCCGCCCGGGCGGAGCCCTAGCTTCCGCACGCGTCTCCTTTCCCGCGATCGGCCGCACTCGAGGCTGACGATCGAAAACCGCTGAAACCGTCTTCCTCTCCCCTCACACGTGGCATTCCACTGCCGATTGAGCACGCGGCTCGTCTCCTCGAGTTTCTCTTAACCGAGCGGCCCTGAGCGACCCTCCAACTATGAAGTTCCACCTGGTTGACACTTCTCTTCCTCGAGGCTGAACGCTCTTCTCTTTATAATGTCGTTTCATTTCTTCTTTGTGATTCATTGGCTAAGGTGACTGATAGATTGTTTCTTCTTCATTGCTTCTTCTCCTCTTCTCAGCCTATAAAATAACTTCCTAAACTACTGTTGGTTGTTGTTAAATGAGAGAATTCTTGAGGGATTTTAGGGAGATTCGGATGCTTTTCTATCTCTATTCTTCATTCGATTAGGGTGATTTCTTTTCTGTTTTCCCTGTTGGAGAGGAAACTTTGTTCCTTTGCTGTTTGAAAATCCCGGAGACTTGAATTTGTCGTGCCGTAAGCTGGAAATCGTGAGAAATTTTCGTGGGTTGCTATTGGGGTGATTTTCTCAAGCCTATTTTACTCTTTTTTTGCTTTAAGTTTACAAAAAGGAAAGGTATTCTTCTCTTCTCCTCTATTTTATATCATTTCGGATATCATGAAATATGGAAATTTATTTTGAGGCTTAAGCATGAGTATTTGCTTAAATAGTGAGAAAAGAAACATACATATATGGATCATCTTTACTTTCTTTACTTGAAGCACTTGAAAGCATCGTTAAGGTGATTTTGGAATGCATTTTTATTCCTTTATAACATGTTTGAGGGCTGTCTCTATTATTTTCGTTGCTTGAAATGTTTGAAAGTAAGAAATGCATGTTGAAAATTATTTTATGAATTGGAAAAGATACATTTGGGCTTATGTTTTATGTTCCTATTACTCCCCTTTTTGCTGCAATATGTGTTGGAAATTGTTTTATGAGATAAAACATTTGTTTGGGGGCTCGT